TGATTATCTGCACTTTATCCACCAGGGGAACAGAGCCCTGGGTTTTATCCACCAGGGGTACAGAGCCCTGGGTTTTATCCATCAGGGGTACAGAGCCCTGGGTTTTAGCGTGTAAGTCCGTTAACTTAACGGTAACCAACCGGGAGGGGGGGATATAACATGTAGGGGATTCCAGCAGAATTAGTGGGTTTAATTACAATATATTTGAGAGTTCTGCCTAAGTTTCCGTGTGGTACGTATATTATTAGGAAGCCTGTAAACAACAAGCAACTTGTGGCGCATAAAACATTTATAAGAATGTGTTTAAAAAAGACACATGGACTTATCCCCTATTCTATGGTTAATGTACAAAGAGATGGTTGAACATTTTGAAATAATAGATGTCATAAAGAGGAGTAAATATTTATCTTCTTTGGCTTCTTAATGACATTGATAAATAGAAACAATATTTTAGTATTGTTGTCATGCATAACTTGAAATTATGATTCAGTATTGTCGATGTCATTTATAACTTGAAACTATGCTTCAGTATTGTCGATGTCATTTATAACTTGAAACTATGATTCAGTATTGTCGATGTCATTTATAACTTGAAACTATGATTCAGTATTGTCGATGTCATTTATAACTTGAAACTATGATTCAGTATTGTCAATGTCATTTATAACTTGAAACTATGCTTCAGCATTGTCGATGCCATTTATAACTTGAAACTATGATTCAGTATTGTCGATGTCATTTATAACTTGAAACTATGATTCAGTATTGTCGATGTCATTTATAACTTGAAACTATGCTTCAGTATTGTCCAAATTATGTATAACTAGAAACAATGCTTCAGTATTGTCGATGTCATTTATAACTTGAAACTATGCTTCAGTATTGTCGATGTCATTTATAACTTGAAACAATGCTTCAGTATTGTTCAAATTATGTGTAACTAGAAACAATGCTTCAGTATTGTGTAGCTTGAAACTAGTTGAGGTTTGTCGATTTATGGATAATTTTAAACCATGCTAGAGTATTGTTTGAGAGAAAGTTTCGATAAGAGTGAGACCAAGTGTGGCTTAGTGGTTAGCATGCTCTGACTGTGAATCCGAGAATTCAGAGTTCGATGCTCGTTGCTGCAAAAATATACTCCTCTTTGGAGTCGTGGGTTCTCTATAAGATTCCACTGTACGATCGGACAAGAGTAGTCCAAGAGTTGTCTGTGGGTTCTGTTGACTGGCTGCTTTCCCCTGTTGACTGGCTGCTTTCCCTTTAGTCTATTAGTTCAAAATTAGGAACGGTTAGGCGCAGACAACCTTTCTTCTATCTTTGCGCAAAAATTCTGAAACAAACAAACAAAAACAAATTCCATACATTGCTCTAGCAATTACACTCCATCATACTGTGTTTAATGTTTTCATGGATCATCCACGGGGAAACCTATCCCTTGTTTTTTCTGTAATATTTCCTACTTTAGAAAAATTTTGCCCTGATGACCAAATAAGTAACGATTCTGGTAAAGAACTTGATATGATAAACTACTAGTGCTGTTTGTTACCGTCCCTAATTTCGAACTATTCACCAAAACTAAGACAGCCAGTCAACAGCATCCTAACACCCGTCAGCGGTATATCTGCGGACTTACAACGCTAGAAACCGGGTTTCGATACCCGTGTTGGGCAGAGCACAGATAGCCCTTTTTGTAGCTTTATGCTTAATTCCAAATAAACAAACAAACTTATTATTGTTCATATTTTACTTATTTATGTATTGTGAGCAACCACCCTCCCACATCTGGTGAAAAGTAGTAAAGATGTGGGACGTTGTGGGCTAAAGCATCCATATCTGCTCCATTTTTTTTTCTTTTCTTCTTCTAAGCATGTGAGGTCGGCGAAGTTGAGGTTAAACTGAATAGTCGGTGAATCTTACTTCCGCCAATACCTCAAAAATCAGGGCACATAATGACCCACCTGATTTGTTCCCGGATGGTTGATGTTTGTTTCTTGGCTGCAGTTTCTTTTTTTTCTTTAATTGTGTGTATATATATTCATACATTTACTATCGTATTTCACTAATGAATACGACTGATGGTAAGTTTGACCACAATCTGAACCCTAACGTATTTCACTAATGAATACGACTGATGGCAAGTTTGACCACAATCTGAACCCTAACGTATTTCACTAATAAAGACGGCTGTTGGTAATTTTAACCACAATCTGAACACTAACGTATTTCACTAATAAAGACGGTTGTTGGTAATTTTAACCACAATCTGAACACTAACGTATTTCACTAATAAAGACGGTTGTTGTTAATTTTAACCACAATCTGAACACTAACGTATTTCACTAATAAAGACGGATGTTGTTAATTTTAACCACAATCTGAACCCTAACGTATTTCACTAATAAAGACGGCTGTTGGTAATTTTAACCACAATCTGAACCCTAACGTATTTCACTAATAAAGACGGCTGTTGGTAATTTTAACCACAATCTGAACCCTAACGTATTTCACTAATAAAGACGGCTGTTGGTAATTTTAACCACAATCTGAAACCTAACGTATTTCACTAATAAAGACGGCTGTTGGTAATTTTAACCACAATCTGAAACCTAACGTATTTCACTAATAAAGACGGCTGTTGGTAATT